ATGATTTTGAATATTTTTATTAAATTTTAACCATTCTTTTGAATAATTTTAATTCATTAGTTTCTAGATGTAAATTTAAAACTTATGCAAGTAAGTTTGGGGTTATTTTGTCATTTGTCTTTTATCATTAGTTTATTTTTCATCATTTGGTTTTTATTTTATTTGTTTTCTTATGGTTCTTGCTGTTTCTTCGCTAATATTTAGTTTGTATTTCTTCCTTGTAGCTTGCTTTTACACGTGGTTGTTTGTTGCCGTTGGTGAATAGTTTGCTGGTGGCTTGGAGTTCTTCTACTTGCAGGTGTTGTTCCTTGATGATTGATTGATTGCTTAGTGTACTGCTGCTGGGAATTTGTGTTGGCGGCTTGGTTTACTTCTTTCTTGTTGAAGTTCATTGTTGTTGTTGGTTGTTAGAAGTATTTCTTCTATTGTGTCTTTTACTAGATGTCCCTTTGTATTTTAGTTTGTCTTCTTAGTGTGATTTGTGCTTGTGTCACTGGTTGTAATTTCATTTTTTTCCTCAATAAAGTTGGGCGTGACCTTCAGGTTTTAGGAAAAAAAAAAGTCTGAATTTTGCATTCGATTCATGTTAAATTTGGATTTAACAAATCCAACAAGGGAGCGGATTTACTAAATCCTACCAACTCTAAATCATATCCTGCATTTTCCTATCTAATTATTTTATTCATTTCATCTTTTAATGCCTTTTGTCATAAGTTATTCTCGGATCTTCAGTAAAAAAAAAAAAAGAAATTAGCTATCATCGGAAATTCGATACAACATTATATGTTGCAATCATATTTCAGATACAATGGTACAAGCAGGGGTGGCTGACGGCTCCTAGTAGGGGCAATTGATGAGTGGGTAAAATTCCAGTGTTGTTCTGGGCTGAAGACAAACCAATAATTTCCGGCCTTTGTAGATGTCTACCATCAGAACAAAATATTGTTTTGAAATACATGAAAGATTTAAAGTAGCAGATGATGTATTAAAGATCCCCAATATAGTACATCTTGACGGCCGCACCTGCTCGTCACTTTTGACCACCCCTATTTGTAACGTTGTTTATGAAATATAGTTGTAAAATATAACCGCATATTAAAGATTCAATGATAACTAATTCCAGTAATGTTCTGGACTGAAGATAGAGCGATGACTTTTGGCCTCCGTGACCACTAAACACCATAGACTACAGTGCGTTGACCTCCGTCGAACACCTGTGGCTGCCTCTTGCTCGCTACCATTGGGAAGCCATTCTTGTTAACATTGTATCCCAAATATAGTCGTAACATGTAATGAAGTATTGAAGATTCGATGATAACTTCTAATTTCCGTAGCTACCGACTACCATCGACCACAGCTTGTCGGTTGCCATCGATCTTCTTCAGCCTCCCTTGCTCGTCATCGTTGGCGAACCCTGTTTGCTAATGTTGTATCCTAAATATGACCATAATGTATAACATCACGTTGAAGATCCAGTGAAAACTTTAAGCCTTCGTAACTGTTGACCATCGCCTACCACCACCAATCATCACCACTGTTGATCATCACCACTCACGACCACTGACAACCACTACTTACGACCGTTGTAGCTAGAATATGGTAATTGCCCATAATAGATGCATCTTTCTTTACATTGTATACCAAAAAATGCAGTATCCAATGTAAAATTGTAACCCCATTTTGAGAGAAGGGATGCACCACTGACAGTGCCATTTATAACCAATTAACGTTATTGTAACCCCTAATTATGACTTATATGGCCAATTATTATTATAGCTTATGGTTACAGTTTTAATGGCCAACTGATGCTATTGTAGTCCAAATTATGCTTTATGTGGCCAACTACTAATACAGTTTTCAACTATGGTCATTGCGGTCAACTGATGATATTGAAGTTATCAACTACACCCAACATGGCCAACTACCATATATTTCAATTATGCTCTCTGTGGCCAACTACCACCATTGTAGTTACCAAGTATAGTCTATGTGGCCAACTAAAAATACTGCATTCACTAGCTACGACCCATGCGACCTACTACTACCAATACAATTTTCAACCACGACATATGTGGTGAACTTACATTATTGCAGTCATCAATTACGGCATATGTGATCAATTGATGATATTGTAGTCTTCAAATATGACCAATGCAGCCAATTACAATTACTATGCTTCAAACTGTAGTATATGTGACTAATTGACACTATTGCAGTCACTAACTATGACTTACCTGACCAACTACTATTGTTACAACATTCAACTACAGCCTATGTGACCAACTGACACTATTACAGTCACAAACTATAAATTTTACAATAGACTAAATATATTCTAACTTCCAACCACTGTCTTTGTGACCAACTATTGTCTATGCAACAGTCAACTACAGTATTTGTGATCGACTACTACTATTACAACTTCCAATTACAGTCTTTGTAGTCAATTGTCTCAACTATAACCACCGACTACAACTTCCATGACTAATTACATTTCATCAAATTCAGAAGAAATATGGATATGCACTTACAATAATATTGTGGATTGCTTTGACTCGGCTAGGCCTTATGGTTTTTTCTTTTCCAAAGTTTTTTCATGTAAAATTTATGGTGTATCCTTCTGCTACTTTTTATTATTTGTGTGTTGGATTTTTGTGCAACGCTGATGTTAAATTATCATTTTATCACCGCTAATTTTCTGGCACATAACAATTCATATTGGTCATTCTAATGTAACAACAATACCATATGTTTGCATTTTTCTCGTACAAAGATTGAGGGTTAAGAAATTGTTCCAAGTAGATTCAATTTTGACATTTGATGACAATTTATGACTTGAAGTATGAGAGAAATGTTCAAAGGTAGATAAAAACTCGTGTATGTTAAATTTGCACGAGTTTTCAAGTAAATATTAGTTTCTTTATAATATTTTATTTTTTTACCTTTGTTTATGTTACATACATTGGATGAAAGCTAACCATATGATTTTTTTGTGTTGAAAAAAACACTCATTGTTTATTCTTGGTTGCATGAAAAACTAAACCCTTCTCATGTGGCAATGTCAATCATCTCAAATGTCAACCCTGCAAACATTTCTGCTTTTCACATTTTTCTTGAGACTAATTACAACGAGGCGAATGCGTTGAAAAGATAAGAATTGTTATGATCTACTGTTTTTTATGATGAGACCAAATTTTAGTTCAGCTATTGCTGCAGAATCGCTAATTCTTAGTATTTGTTTGCTTTGGTTTCCTTTGTGAACACTTCAATCTCAAAATCTGCATCAAATTTCACTGGTTAGTTTGTTTTTTAATAGCATTCTTTTCTGTTTGCTGATTTTAACTGTAATTTATGCATATATTTTGTGATATAAATACAATATATTTTTTTGTTAATAAAATTTTAATCATATTTGGCCACATGATTTTATTTCTATGTACATCATCAAAACGAATGATGAGATTAGGCTTTAGAATGATTGATAAAATATTAGTAAAGGGTTGCATGTTTATTTTTCTAATTAAACAATATTGATTTTAGAGAATGAAAAAATAATGGAGCAATTACATGCATCCCACATAATTCTTTTGTATTTACATATCCAACATCTTAACTTTTCAATTCACCTGCATAACACTTAAATTTTTTATCTTCTAATTGTTCATTCTATTTTTCATCTTATTATAAAGCTAACATAAATTAATATCATTTTCTCTTTTATAATAGACAAGCCAGCTCGAACTCATAGACTTAAGTTTGAGTTCGAGCTCGAACTCGATAAAATTTTTAAAGCTTAAGGTCAAGCCAAGGATGGCTCGAGCTCAACTTGACTCGTTTACACTCCTAATCTTCGCTGATTTTAACTCTAGAAATCTTAAATAAATAAAAGAGGCAACTATTAGTTTTTGACATTAATTGTCCAAATATATAGATTTTCGAATTTCCTTTTCATGGCAAAGTAATACAAAATACAAAATTTTCAATCTCGCCGTGAAAGATAATTTTCTATATTTTCTTATTCGTTGGAAGAACCCTATAAAGAGAATGAATTCTACATGGCTAGCTTATCATTTTCTCAACACGAAAATTAATGAGCACCTTTAGCCTTTCTTCCTCCAATATTATATAGGGGGATTTACATACATACCACCCAATTGTTATGTACTTAATATCTAACATTTAAAACTTTAATTTTTACATTTATACCACCCAAATCTTTGATATCACATCAAAAATACAACCATCTTAAATTTTAAAAAGTGATACAGCTTTTAAAGCATAGAGGTGGTGGCATGCATGTAAAAATTGAAGTTTAGGTGTTGGAAATGTAAATGCATATGAATCGAGTGGTTTGTATGCAAATGTCAACATTATCTACTTGGGATGCGTGCAAGGGCTCAAAAGGGTTGGATTAAATCAAGATTTTAGCATCTGTTGGCAATACAATATCAAAGTAAATAGTTTTGATATGTGTAGTCAATTTAATTCTAAGCACTTCTCTATTCTATACAACTTGGATTGCACCTACTTCTGTGCTGCTCAACAGCGAGCACATTAATGAAGCTGCCGGTTCATAAGCAATATTAACAAAATAGTTTTTGATGTAGAAATTAAGTCCTTGTGAGCGTTCTGGGCAAAGAATGCTCAAAAAATTCAAAAAATCTTATATTTACATACCAAACAATTCTTATATTTACATACCTACACTTAAGCTTTCATATTTAAATACATAACATTCAAATTCATAGCATCACATTAAAAATACCACTCATACTACTTAAAAGTTCATTACACCTCTTCACGCATGGTTCATAACACCAATGTGTTATAAATGTTAGATATGTAAATAAATGAGCATTGTGAGGTATGTATGTAAATTGTCCTCCTTTTTTTTATTGCATTTGTTCATAGTTAAATTGCCAACCTATTAAGCATAAAAGAGGATAGATGAACTGCAGGAAATCAAAAAAATGACGTCAAATTAAGTAAATATAGCCTCCGGAAAATCTGAATTACATTGAAATCGACAAAGAATGAGAACAGAGAACAAGAACTTGCACCCTCATTGTTGAATAAAGGGAAAAAAATATAAATCTACAGTGGTTTCAAATTCAATAAAATGGCACCAATCCAATTAGAGATGCCAATTAAAATACATATAAAACTATATAACATAAATGAATGATTCAATCTAATTTAACATTTTAACTAACCAGAAGCATGAATATATGGAATCAAGGTCTCCACTGCCGTTGTTGTATAAACCTCGTGATAGGACTAGCAGCTACAGAATTCCTTTTTGAAGGTCCATAATGCGCAGCCATCTCAATCAACCTTCCAACCAAGCTTACATCATAAAAATAATATGGCGAAAGCACCTCCATCCCTTCCAAAAGTCATAATTCCGTCTCAAACCCTACATACTTTTAAAGAACACAATGTTCCACATGCTTCGACTAAAAAATCAGAGAGATCGGATCACTAGCTCTCGTGTGAAACAAGCACTAATGCCGCACGTTACATTGATCCATAAATGGCTCCCCTTGTATTAAGAACTTCTTCCAGTACTTCTTGTATGTGGGAATGCCTAAATCAAGCCAAGGCTTCATGTTTCCGTTATAGTGCAGAGCAGCAGCAGTCTTTATGACATCTTCGCTAACATGATAGTCATGACCAAGCCCTGAGATAATCGACATGCTATCAAGAGGAAATACATGGCCTTGAAATGCCAGCAGGCTTGTTGGAAGTGCTGCAGTTCTCCAGGTTTCTTCGTTTCCATTATGGAACTGTAACAAAATGATGTATGGTATTAAAATTGGAGGAGTTTTAAGTGCTCCGTGATTCATTTTTTTGGATTGTTGAGAGCGAGCCAAAAATTTGATGTTGATGGAATTAGATCCCAGAAACTAGATAATAATTTCCAAGACTTTTACTAATTACCAAATGAGCTAGCAGATAACAGTAAAAAAGACAATTTTTTGGAAAGTTGTTATGCCATTCAAGAACTATGGATGGTGGTTCATAAGCATATGAAAAAAATGAATGCAGAATATAATACTCATTCATTACATTTTACTCTTTAAAGTGTTCCCTGCTTGTCTAAGAGGAAACGACAATACCTACTTTAGGAGGTGGAAATAAAGAAATTGGCCTCTTGACTAGAAAATAAGTGGCACTTCCTTAGCAGTTGGATAGGAAGAACAAGTGTCGATTAAATCTAGGGAAATTTATATATAACACACAATTCGCTTGTATTTATATATCAAATTTGGATATTTACATTTACAATACTTTAGTGTTATAAACCTATGCATGAAAAGTTGTATCAGTTTTAAAAAGAAATAATGATATTTTCATGTGATATCAAATATTTCAACGCTAGGATGTTATCAAACTTGATATCGATACGATGTAACAAACAATGAAATAAAATAAAATAAAAAAGTTGTAACACAAATCTTACATGAAAATCCCAAGGTGGGAAAAACCGCAAAAAGATGAGAAAAATTAACTATATCAAATAAGAAATTGCAATAAAGTTTCGGTCACATCTAATCAAAACAAGAAAAAAGTAGGAGCACTTGTATAAAATAAAAAGAGATTTATAATTTCGGCAATACCTATTTAAAGAAAACAATTAAAAGAGAGCCGATGAAATAAGAGCACAAAACTTGTAATCTAAAGGCTAATATAAAATTGATCAATCGATAGAAGTCTTCAATATGTGTGCTCAAAGTTTCCTTTTAAAGCCTTAATCATATGAGACAAGTGGGGCTCACAAAGTGTGGCTCACAAAATTCCGGTAAAAAATTCAGTGATATCCACCTTGACATTAATTACTAAAAATTCAAGAATAAATATCTAATCTTTGACAAAACTTTCTCCACCTCTTCCACAAAATTCTAATGATAAAAAAAGAATACTAACCAAGTTTATGCAGTGCTCATACTTGACTATTAAGAGAGCCTTTAGTCATCATATCAATAGAATTATCCTAGGTATTAATTTTACCCACAACAATATCACTACGAATAATAATTTCACGTACAAAGTGGTAATGAACATCAATGCACTTGGTTCTTTCATTAAACATCTGATCTTTGTTGATACCAATAACACTCTGACAATCACACATTATTATGGTGATCTTCAAATCTTCACTAAGCTCTTTAAATAGCATTTCAACCAAAGAGCTTCTTTACAAGCTTCAATAGTTATCATATACTTAGCTTTAGTTGTAGAAAAAGTTATTGTTGTCGGTAAAGTGTCTTTCTAATTAATCGCATAGCCACCAATAATAAGCACGTCTTGTAAGTGATCTCCTTCTAAAATAATCTCTAGCAAAATATGAATCCACTATGACGTTAGTTGCAGTCCTCTCAAACTACATTTAGATATAGTTTGTTCCATATAGATACCTGAGGATCCACTGAACTGTATTCCAATGATCTTTACCTGGATTACTCATATATCTGCTAACTACATTGACTGCATATGATAAATCTGAACAAGAACACATTGTAGGATACATGAGAGATCCAATTGTACTGGAATATAGAACTCGAGACATATACCCAATCTCAACATCTAATTATAAACACAAAACTAATGAATGTCTAAAAATGCACAGTTAATGGAGTACTAATTCGCTTAACATTTTGCATATTAATAATGTTCTCAATGTACCCTTTCTGATTAAAAAAAATTTGCAGGCCTATCTTACTGAATCTACATGCAAAATATTTTCTTTGCACTCTCAAATTTTTTAGCTCAAACTCATAGTTAAGCTAAGTTTTTGAATAGCTTGATATCTTCTTCATTCTTAGTAGCTATCAATATATAATAAACATATAAGAGCAAACAAATAAATGATTTGTTATTATTCTTCTTAAAACAAAACTAATCATAGTTGCTTCTTTTAAAACTCACGAGCAATCATAAATGAATGAGTCAAATTACTTATACCAATATCTGGGAGACTGTTTCAAACAGTAAAGAGATTTCTTCAATAAACAAACATGGGTTGTTGCATATACATGCCCTCATCAAGCTCTCCATGCAAAAATGCAGTCTTTGAATTTATTTGTTCAAACTCAAGGTTATGCTTAGCCATAATACCAAAAAAAGCTTGAATTGAACTATATTTGACCACCGAAGAAAATACATCTGTAAAGTCTACGACTGAAATTTGACTGAATCCCTTTGCAATAAGTGGTCTTATATATCTGACAACTTCAACTACTTGTGTACCTTCCTTTCTTGAACCCCCATTTGTAGTGAACTGCTTCCTTGCCTTGACACAACTTTACCAAATCCCAATTCTTATTTTTATGTAGAGATTCAATCATCCACTTACCCAAGTCAATTGAATTACTTGCTTCTTTATAGCTAAAAATTTCTTCACCACACTCAATACATTCAACTATATTTAGAGCGAAAGCAACCAAGTCTCGCCATATCTTTAAGGTGGCTTAGATTCTCTTTTCATTCTATCCTTGGCAATAGAATATTGCAATGATTGTTGTGATGTTGATGGAAAAAGTATCATCATCATGAATATTTGAGTTTGAATCAGAAGTCATGGGCATGTCTCAATTTGAAGCTCCATCTTTCTACTAGACATCTTTTGATTATCACTAGATTCTATAGTAGGTATTATATGTAACATGACTGAATCATCTCTACTAATCATCACTTTTTTAATTTCTAGACAGAATAACTTATGGCCTTTACTCCAATTTTACAACCAAGAAATACACACTTTATGGATCTATGCTCTAATTTACCATTATGAATGTGAGAATATGCAAAAGAGTCAAAAAAATCTTAAATTGAAGTATTCTGCACGTTTACCGGACCAAATCTCTTATAGAATTTTCTTGTCAATTACAATAAAAGGAGAGTGATTCACTAAGTAGCAGAAGCAGTTTCATCCCGTTATGATTTAGGTAGCTCGATATTGGAGAGCATGCAATGAAACATTCTCAATTATAGTCATATTCATTGTTTCACCACACCATTTTGTTGTGATTCAAGATTGTGAAATCTTTGGGAGATTTTTTTTTATTTGTAGAAGACATTAAATTCTCTGAACAAAATTCCAACTCATTATCAGTGTGAAGTCGTTTAATATTCATTCCAATCTGTTTCTCAATCATAATCTTCTACTCCTTAAAAGTAATAAAAACATCCTCTGTTATTTTAATAAGAAAAATAAAAACCTAACCTTCTAGAGAAATCATCAATAAACATCAACTTATATTTGGCACCAGCTTCAGATGATACTATAAATGATCACCAAAAGCCAGAATGTACATAATCTAATATTTCATTAGTATTGCGAATACCAATATTGAACTTAACTCTTCCAAATACATTGTTCACAAAACTTCAATTTAGTACTGTTATGACTATTTAGAAGTCCTCTTCTACAAAGATCAACCATCCCACTCTCACTCATATGTTCGATGCGCATGTGCCAAAGTGTGGTTGCTACATCATCTAACATTAAAGAAGTAATAAATGTTACATCACCTATCACTATAGAGTCTTGCAAGACAAAGTCCAGCAACATTCATCTATTCCTTTATCATAATAAAAAAGCATTTACAACCTTTAAAAGTCTACCTTCACAAGAGTACTTAACCCTTTTAGCATCTAAATTATTTAAGGTAAATAATTCCTTATCAGATATGAAACATGTATCATATCTTCAAATGTTCTGATGATTATATCAAACATTTCATTCTAAGAGTTCTAAAACCAATTATCTTACATGTAACATTTTTATCTATTAATACGAAATATGCTGAAACAAGTCCCAATTAGGAAACATATAAAACTTGATCAAGAACCTAATCATCACAAAGTTCGTCGTCAAAGATAACTATAATTTTACCATCACTGACTTAAACAATACTAACTTCACCTAAATGAATTGATTGCTTATCTTTCTGGTTAAAAGTTACTTTCTTATTTTTTTCTATAGTTTGTAACATTCGGTTTTGATGTTCAAGTTTTTCTTAAAGTGATTGTAGATAATATCATAATTATTGAATTTTGATATAATCTTTGTATCAATACCAGCACTCCTCTCTTGAGTTCTACCTCGAATGACGAGGCTTTCTCCTTGAGTAATAAATTCATCCACAAGCTACTTCATGTTCTCCTTAGAAAATAGAGTATCATATAATTCATCTAGAGTATCCCCCGCTCATACAAGATGGTTTCTCTAAACATCGTATATGATAAAGGCAACGAGCATAATATCATTAATATCAAATCTTCTTCTTCATGCTTAACTCCCATGTTTTTTAAATCAGAGACGATTTTCTTAAAAACAGTTATGTGGTCGATAAAAGATGCTACTATTGTCATCCAGTGAGGTGCAAACATCGTTTTAAGTGCAACTTACTAGTCAGACTTTTCGTCATGCACGATTACTCTAATTTCAACCATAACACAAAGTGGTCTTCTCCTTCAAAATATCATGTAAAATCTTATTTAAAAAGATGATGAATTTGAAAAAGAGCCTTTCAATTTTTATTATGTTTCTCCACTGACATCCATGATGGGACATATTTTCGAACCCAAATAGTGCATCAACTAGATCCATATGCACATAGAAAGCTCACATCTTAACCTCCAAAACAAGATTTTGGTGTTGCAATCTAAATGAGGGATGTCGAACTTTCTTTTTGTCATTATCGATATCAAAACTTAGCTCCAATGCCACTTATTATAAAACAAGATATTAAATTGATACAAAAAATAATAGAATAAATAAAAGAAAAAACACAAATTTTATTTGGAAAATCTAAGATGGGAAAACCAAAGGGTAGAGAAAAAGAGTTCACTATATTAAATAAGAAATTATAAATGGAGAGCTTCAACCAACATTAAACCATAGCAAAGAATAAGTGAGTACATCTATACAAAAAAAAGAGGGAATTTTTTATTTTTAATAAAACCCCTTTAAAGAAATAATTAAAGCAATATAAATACTAAACATTTTTATCAATTCGTTTTAATTTGTTGAAGTTCACACCAATAAGGGTATCTAAAGGCTCAATCCAAATAAACTATGTACTTGTAAAAAAAAGGTAAAAGGAAAAAAGAAAAGAAAAACAAATAAATAGAAGATGCCTTTAAAGGCAAGACACGTACCGTGGGCAGCAGTTTGTGGTATATTCCCGTAATATTATGCTCTCTCCACTTCTCCAAATCAATTATATTCAATCCAGAAGTCCACAGGCACAAACTCCTGTCAAGTATGCTTCTGCCTAAAATTATTTCGAGCTGACCAAGTTGCAGCTTGCAGAAATTAACAGCTCCGTTCACTTTCCCCTCCAAATCAATAGTCCACAAGGATGACAAATCCTGCTGGACAATCACATCATCATCTAAAACTATAACCTTTTTCAAATTCTTGAATATTTCAGGAAGGAGGAAGTGTGAAGGGCCAAAAGTAGATATATATTCAGTTCTCAATTGCAAGTGCTCTGTTTGATCAAAACCACGGACAGAAATCCTGAATTCTTCCGAAGTAGAGAACTGCTTCAAGCCTACACCATTCAAGATGCTAACGCTAAGATCTTCAATATTCAGGACATGGATGATTGCTTCATTGTAAGAATTTCTAGCAAACCAGAGCTTCATGGCATAGAAATTCTGTCTATCAGTTATCAAATGGAATATCATATCAGCTGTGTCCTGTAACAACAAAAAAGTATAAGTAAGCGAGAAAAAAAATTGAACTTCGGGCAATGCACATTCACTAAAGTATAGGTCAGACCTTCGAATTCATTACAGTTGAATTAATGGTAACAGAAACCGCTAGTATGTGTCTAGTAAATATAACATAATGCCGAAATCTTGGGTCATCTAACTTAAAACCAAGAGACAACTCCATATCAGGTGGAGGCTCTCTAAAATATTCCACTGTTAATCTCATTGATAAACAATGGAGGCTTTTAGGCATAGTCTGGACGCCAAGGTGAAACAAGAAAGCACTCTGCTTCATATGGAAATGAGTTTCATCCTCTGTAAGATCAAGTAGTTGTCTCAGTTTCCTCTCAACATTGCTGCACTCAACAGTACATCCTTTAGCTTTCGCAATTGTCTGCTCCATCTTCTGAATTTTATTTGCATAACTGAAAAAGAAGAGGTTGCTCACAATCTCATAATCACATCACAATCACGTAAAAAGAAATAATCTCCAAAGGCATAACAAATACAAGTTTATATTCATTGCACAATGCAAAAGGACACAAGTTTAGAGGCATCAATGGTTAAAACTGTTTATATGTGCAATGCAGAGAACAGGCTAAGAACAGTTATTAGGTTACCTCCATCGTGAGTCATGTCCTAACATTCAAGGGTTCTAAAAAAAATCACATTTTTACCAAGGGAAGATGTGGCCATGTAAATTTACATTGTTGAGATACACACAAAAAAAAAAAAAAAAATCAAACATAAGAAGTAAAATAAAAGCTGAGAAGCTCATAAAACCACTACAAAAAAAAAATGAATAACACTAAAATTTGTAGCGCTATATCTTTTGGGGCACATCCTTCGTTAAGCAAATTGAAAAAGTATACAAAGCAAGTCAATCATAAACATACCAGCTGCGGTTGATATCATAAAAAGATCAAATATTTAATATGTGAATCAAGAGAATGATCACAATTGAAAGCATAAATATCAATCTACTAATATTTCTATCTTCAAAATGCATTGCTGCAGAGTTTCAAAGGAATGCAATGGGAAACTTTATTCCAGTAATAGTTCAATAAAAGGAAGACCCTTTCCTTTTCATCACATTATCCCACTGAAAAGGAAATTTTATTCTATCAATAACTCTGCAAGGAGAATAGTCTTTCATTTTAATCACTAATTTCTAGGCACTTGGAAAAGGAAAAGAAACAAATAAAAAAAAATAGAACAAAGAAAAAGCACACAGTTGGCCCTATGAGTAATGCTTCATTTTCCCAAAGAAAATTAAAACCTCATTTGCTTGTTTCTTATGCACCTAGCTGATGTGGATATACGCCTCAATTTTATTGATTCAGGCACATAGCTGGGGTGGTTTATATTTTCCCATACAGCGATAATCATATGAATATTGACTAGAAGAATTAGGAAAATTAGATGCTGCCAGCGTAAGATCTAGCACAACTCGCTTCAACCCACAATTATATATGAACCCAGGAAAGTTTACAGTTAAGGAAATAAACATTGCTAACTAGATACTCTTATGCAACTGATCATACTATCAACTTACATTGGTGGGAGATCTGCATCTGAAATGACTTCACTGAGGATGCGTTCATGTTCTTGAATGTTTTGCTTCATCTCACGAGAAAGATTCTCTTGTCCCTGAAGTTTAGCAATGCTTGGATAATAAGCTCTGGCAACAAAAAGCTGATCTTTAAATATCTTTACTGTAGCATCTTTCATAGATTCTTTATGTTCTTTCGACCAAAGACAGTAACTCCCAAATTCAAGCTGACAAGAACTCTCTGATCCATAGAAGTTTGAACCATTAGAAGGATTTGCTGCAACTCTGTCACCAAGCTGGGAAGAGAAAAATAATATGAAACATGCCAGATTTTGGATCAACGGAAATGGTCAAGAAAGAATTGCAACTAAGAAGCACAGCGCACAAATATCAAAGTCTCAAAATTAGCAATAGAAATATTATATTTCCATCCATTGTGTTTTATTGTACTCCTTTTGATAATAACTTTCATCCATGTCTCAGAGTAGTCACGCAAAACTAATCACCATAAATAGAGTTTCATACACATTGACACAAAAATCAATCAAATTGGGTGGAGCGTTATGAACACTGGAATAGCCAAACAAAAAGTATTGAATTTGCAAATAACTCTATCGATCTTACCCTTGAATCTGAAGTTAATTGCACGTTGAAAGCATCAGCTGGTGGCTTGGGTACGACTGAATAAGCCAATATAAGCATTTAAATATCTCACAACAATTAAGATACAAGATATGAAGATAATAACACTATTTTGTACCTTCTGGAAAAGGAGTCGTAGCATTTGAATCTGAGTTGGATACAACACCCGTTGGCTGAGAATCAAGTTGTTCACTGTCCTCATCTGGTTCAAAGCCTTTAGATTTCCCATCACCATCTCCTGTTATGCTTTGTACAATTTCCTAAATGAAGAGGACAATTCAGAAAATTGCTCAGAAAGGCATAAATAGGTACCAAAAATAACACATTAAACAAAAATATGGCTAATTTTATACTGAAAAACGATTACATAATCATGGGTTGAACGAAAGCTTAATCACAAAAAAAGGTTAAAGTATGAGGTAAATTATTAAAAAGAAAAGATAATTTGCATAAAAATTCATTATTTAAACATAAAAAATCATGGAAATAGTTCTCATAAATTTTGATTCAATTTATGAGAAAACTTCAATGAAAGAAGAATACACCAAATACGAAAGAAAAAATAAGTACAAAATTCAATGGATGAAACAAGATCGAACAATATGCCTTCAACTTTAGAAAATAGCAGAAATAGGAGAAGTGCTGACAAGGAAAACCATCCACGAAAAATAAAATATAAAATAATACAGGAAGCGTGAAAAGTATACAATTAATAGAAGATCTATCTAAAAACTGGTAGACCAAAACAACTGAACTCTAAAGCTTTCCCGAGGAGCCAAATCATTAATTAAACTTTTGCTTTTCCAAATTTAACAATGCTGTAGTTATGTAACATTGGAAGAATCGCTTCAGGGATTCTCATATGAAAAATGAAACTTATATGAAACAGCATACAATGAGATTGAAACATAGCTATAGGAAGAAAATAATAATAATAATAATAATAAAAGACCGTAACACTAACACAAACATCATAACATTCAGTTTGAACTTCAACTTAAGACCTTGTATCTTTTCTCTTCAAGCCTAGACTGCCGAGACAAATTTGAAGATTAACATGCCTACAGCAATAAGCTTAAGCTACAAAGGACCCTTCCCATCAACATGCTATAACAATAAATTGAAACACTGCTAAACAATCTCTTTCTATCGCTAATCATGGTAAGAAATTTTGGTGTTGAGAAGAAAAAAAAAAGAAGTTGAACTGTAAAGTTCGCCACCAAAAAAAAAAAAAACTAGATCGAAAGTTGATTACTCGCCCAGCTAAAATGCGGCTTAGTCTTAGATGGTTTTTTTAACAGCATTTAGCACATTTACTACATTTAAGTACTAAAAATTATGCCTAAATTGAGGATGTACAAAGGTGAGTGATTTCCATCTTCCCTCACATAGCTTTTTTTTCCCTTATACAACATTAGCACTTCATATGTTCAGGGCCACAAAACCACAGTAAATAGCTCCAATAGGGTGTTTCAATCAATTTTTAATATTGCAACTATGGTCGGACTGAAGTGAAAACTTTATGATTATAACAATGGAGTTTTATTGCAACTAGGTAATGATCACTCAAGAAAGAGAGCTCTCAGACCTTCGCATGTAAGAGAACTCAGCTTGAAGTAGATTGGATTTATTCTCTTAACTTGATTTCCCTAACTTTGGGTCATATTTTATTTAGATTTGTAGTGGAGAAATCCTATGGATGCCAGCCTATGAAGTTTAAGAGAGCACTCTCAAATAAGGAGACCACACAGCTCAAGCATTTAGGTTGACTTGCTAGATTTACAAACCTTGTGGAACAAGTATGGAGTAAGAAATGGTTAACCCTATCAAGATCTCATGATTCCTCGCTCTAAAAATTATTGGTTGCTAGACTTGTTTATCATGAAGATCACATGTGACAACGTAGGTTTAAATCAAATAGCATCTTATTGTGACTACAAGCATCAAGTTAGGCAACTTTGTGTGACAATAAAGCTGTTGAGCTTGTTGCAACCTATAGCTTCTCAGTCATCAAAGAAAGAACAAACATTTCTAAATACTTTCCATGCGTGTGTCAAAAACAAGCATGTTTACAACACAGCCTAAATGTGTTTGGCACACTCAAAATTGTGTTAGAAGCATTTTCAAGATATAATTAAGTTTTGACCCGTCGAAAATAACCCTAAAACGGCTGGATGAGACTCAACATGTCGTAATAACATGTATAGGGAATGACTCGATCATAATATACCAACATATGCACAAAATATGCAACAGCTAAATTTATTAATGAATGCTAATGTTGAAGTGTTGTTAACAAATGACATTTGTCATAGGTTATAAAATATTTAATTTATCATTAATAGTGTTTATTTTTTTTATTCTTGTTAAGCTTCTTTTGTGAAGTATATGTGTATGAATATGATATCATACTTCATTAGGAAATACTCTGAGTAGAACATATTGAAAATTGCATATTTTATTTTAATAATTTATAAAATATAATAGTATACCCGTGAGATATTTGCTCTTTCTTTTTAGATTTATGATGTGTCACCGTGACTAGTACATGGTGTGTCCATGTCCATACTACATAGTAAGCCATTAAAACTTAAATGTGATATAAAGACATGCTTGTTAATAACTTTGGGCAAACATATATAAAAAACTGCATAAAAACTGAACAACGGATTGTGATATAAAAATATTCGCCATTCAAAAATTTGAATAGCATGGATCATTGGTTCCAGAATAATAGAAATGAGTTTGATCCTGCTAGTTGATCCTTAAATAATGGGTAACAAAAATCTTCTAAAATAACATCTGTATGGTGGTTGAATATAAAAGGAGACTAGCCACATGTTGAACCAAAGAATTGGAGATATCTAAACTAGGGACTCCTATGAGAGCAAAATTAAGCCAAATTGCACTCTAACCAACAGGCCTAACAACAGATGGATTATCAAAACCAATTCTCATAAGCACGATCATCATAAACATACTAGATGAAAATAAAATAAAACTGAAACAACATTAATACACACAATTGCATATCCTCTGAGAATAGATTATCATATTTGCACTAAGGGTCCCTTAATGATCGAATATTTATGATAAGTGATCAAATTAGCTCATCAACTCAGTCTCATGGTAGATCAACATCCATGTTCTTGATATTCTACTTCGCAATGTTAAAATCAAAAACTAATTTCAATGATAACAATTTTATAATATAAAATGATAATATACTATCATCACCATTATTAGCCATATCCCAATTACTTGGAGGTCATTGGTATAAATCTTCACTCTCTACTCAATCCTTCAGAATTTTGCATAATTTGCTGAAGTCAATATGTACAAATCTTGTTGGATGTATACATCCATATCAGCTTTAGTCTACCCTTCCTGTTTTCACAATCCTTTAACATTAATTTCATCATCTTCCTAAAGAATTTTCTACATTTGTTGTACATGTCCAAACTACTTGAATCTACTCTCCACAACCTAGTTTCATAAAAGTATGGAACTCTTTTAAGTTACTAGCAATATGAAGGATAAGAAAGAATTTACGTAATAGGATGACTTTACTAAAAAGAAAAAAAAAAGAAGAGAAACAAATAATAACAACAAACAGCTCGATGAAAATATTTTATTGTCCAAATCATCATTGAAAGAATAGTTCTCAACAGAACAAAGAAGAAAAACTAGAAAATAAGCTAATGCTACTCCTACAATGTATCTTAACATTCTAACCTGTCATGCTCAATTTCGCGAATTATTCTATTGCCCAGCACAAAAGATTCATGAAGCATAGCCAGATAATTTATAATCTATATAATTCAAATTTAAATCTCTTAGTATTCTTATAGCACATGATACTCATAAAACATTTCACTATTTCAACCACCAAGTCAAAAATATAAAAATTACATTATCATGTATGTCGTGCTATCTTATAAAAAGGGAGAGAAAGACAAAGACATTCACCCAAACAAATACAAATAAAAGCCTAAAATATAGTATAGTTTTTTTTTTTTCATAAGAAAATTTTAATTTAAATACCCTAAAAATTAAAACAAAAAAAATCACGAGTCTCTATAATCAAATTTGTATAAGAATTGCATCTCAACATATCCCAAGTTTGATTGTCAATCAATCACACTAAAAGAACCGGATAAATAGTGCAATAAAATACACAAATGAGATCAAATGCCAATACAATATCTGTATTTTTTACATCCTTAATGTCACACAATAAATAAAAACTAAAATGATATTATAACAATTAAACTCTAGAGCATGATAAAATTATGATGTACAAAAAAGTGTCAATATTATTCTAACATTTATTTTTATTAGATTGATGACCAAAATAATTCTCAAAGATTTTATGACAACTCAGACCAAGATAGTTTGAATGTTGGTGATCAACAACAACAAATTTGATTTTGAATGGAGAAACTCAATTATTGTATCGAATGGACAATGGAAATAAAATTTATCTTCACTTAAATAGAGTAAAACTAACTCAAGTTGCACATATACGCATATCACAAAGGATTACTAGTCAGGGGAGAGGAAGACATATCATTTAAAAATTAGGCTCGAAGCAACTCGAGTGAAACTTGTGTTACTCGATTTCTCCCTCAAGATTGAAAAATGGAGGCTCCTAAATGAAAATAAACAACTTCAAAAATCTAGGAATACAATTTTGGCAAGTATTTTGGAAAATTGGTTGGTCATTATGCTTACTTAAGACATTAATTGTAATTATAAGATGTTAAAATGATATTAATAAAGAACTAGTTTGATGAAAAAATTTTATCACATCTTAACTATAAAAATTTTCTAAGAGAAAAAGATGATTATGGTAGAAAAATCAGTTATATGAAACATAAAATATTGTGCCGCATCTAAGTTGTACTTTGTGAAAAATTTTAAAGGCAAATGGCAATAGCCCGCTGTTCCGAAATTTCAAGAAAGTTTAAAACTTACATATGCTGAAGTAGATATGAAAATTATCTTTTTGGGGGCTTTAAAACAAAGTTACATGGAGGAAAAAGATGATAACAAAACAAAGTTTCCAATAGAATAGACAAAGATCGACTCTCTTTCTCTTTCTCAAACTCAAACTCAACTAAAATACTCATTTTTCTTTTATCTTCCCACAAAATGAGGTGGCTAATAAAAGTTTATGAAACCTACCATGATGGCTTTTTTCTAATTATTTAATAAATTGGGACCTACTTTGAACCCACAACTAAATGTGTATCTATCA